CTGGGGACGCCTAAGACCATCGGAAAACACATATATAATTACATATTGTTTTTGTGATGAGTCACTATGCTTTAATTATGTTCAATTTGTAACAATGAAAATCCGTCCTGCAGATCAGATGTTTACATTACGATTCGTAACAGTAGCAAAATTACAGTTATGAAGTAGCAACAAGAATAATTTTATGGTTGGGGGTCATCACAACATGAGGAACTGTATTAAAGGGCCGCGGCATTAGGAAGGTTGAGAACCACTGACATAGAGAAACTGTTGAAACTTGTACAGTGGATGTAGAAGTAATCCTGAAGGTTATTTTTTTGCTTCAGGTGTATGTTGCTTTCTATACTTACAGTACCTTAAGCACTAGATAAGTTAATTTGCCAGGCTTCTAACATAAACTTTAAACTTTAGGGAGTGATTATACTTTTGTGTCTATTTGCCTGAACTTTTTATTTCTGCTTTTAAGTCGTATTACTGGAGAAGATGGAAAAGAAGTCATTATAGAAATTGAGAAAAAACTTCCTCGGTTATGTGAAGTTTTAAAGGTATGTGTCTCTGTTTATTAGTAGTTTTTTTTATTTGTGGCGAAAAGTTTTACCAGTTTACTCCTAAAAACTTTGAATTTAAATAAAGTGAAAGCATATTATAGTACTCTGAGTTCCCTTATAGTTTTCCCTCACTTCATCTAACTCCATGTCCCTGTAAGGTTACTCTTTAGTCCCCATTTTGCAGAACAGATTGGTTTAATTTGTCCAAGGCTATTTGAGTCCAAAATCTTTGCTCTTAATTTAAAAGCAATGATCGGAGATTATTTCATCTATTTTATCTCCTTTTGTAGGAATGTACTCCTAAGTAATGACTTTATAATTTTGTTTTTGGTGTATTTATTTGTCTTCACACACCCTTAGTTTTGCTACTCTTGCCTGGTTAAGAACCGTTACGAGGGTTATCTGTGTCACGTGTTTTTGGAAAGGTGGTGCAGTTTAACCTCAAACTGAAGACCTATGTTCTTGTCCTCACTTGAGTACCCTGCAGCTTTGTGACCTTCCTTAACACTTTAATTTTCTTGTTTTTAGAATTAAGAGGTTGAATGCCATCTTCAAAGTCCCTTTGAGTTCTTATTTTTATCTTGTTTTTGTGCTTTTAAAATATAAGTTTTCTATCCAGCTATTCATTGTACTTTTTAGCATGATTTCTAACTAAATGTTGAGGCATTTGAGGTTGTGTCTACCTCAAAGTATCCTGTTACGGTGATCAGGAGCGTACTTTATTGTGTAGTAATTAGTTCAAGACATGAATATTATTGTCGTACAATATCAGTGGTATTGTTATCCCATTTTTCTTTGTCATGTTCCACATTCCAGTAGTATAATCATGCTCTGCATAATGATGTTTTAGTCAACAACTTGAACCAACCGAATATACAATGGTGGTCCCATAAGATTGTATGTAATGAAGCTGAAAAATTCCTGACATTTTAGCCAGCATAACGTTATAGCTCAAGAGTTACTCTTGCCCTAGCTGGTTTGGGTCAGTGGATAGAGCGCCAGCCTGCAGACTGAAGGGTCCCCGTTAGATTCCGGTCAAGGGCATACATGCCCGGATTGTGGGCTGGATCCCCGGTGCAGGAGGCAGCCCATCAGTGACTCATCACTGATGTTTCTATGTCTCTCTTTCTTTCTATAATCAGTTTTTTAAAAAAAGTTACTCTTGTGATCCTGGTGTAAATAAACTACTATGCTGCCAGTCCTATAAAAGTATATCACATACAATTATGTACAGTGCATATAATATTTGATAATGATAAGTGCTTATTGGCTTATGTATTTACTATATTATACTTAATCATTATTTTAATGTGTACTCTTTCTGCTTATAAAAAAAGTGCTGTAAAACAGTATTGTAGCTTGGCAGCAGTCTCATACATCTCACACTTACCACATCTCTTGATTGTATCGTTTTTCTTGTGCTTGATTTAATCTCATGTTTCATAAAGGCTGTAGCCTCGGAGCAGCAGGTTATATCATATAACCTAGGCATGTAGTAGACTAACTATACCTTCTAGGTTTGTATAAGTGTGCTCTATGATGGTCTCACAATGATAAAATTGCCTAATGTCGCATTTCTCAGAACATACCCCTGTCACTAAGTTGCACAAGACTATTTGATGTGATAGAAGCATGCATTTTCATATATTTAGTACTTGACAATGTGTAGGGTCAGGAACTCAATTGCATGCATTTCGAATCAAGATGCACTGTTTTAAATAGGGTTTGTAACTAAAATACCTGATGAATAATTACAGTTGACTGTTGAACAACTCGGGTTAGAGGCACTAACCCTCTCTTCCTCCTTGTAGTAAAAAATCCTCATAACTTTTGACTTCCCTAGAACTTAACTATATTTAGAAATGTCTGGGTGAGTATAATACTGATAGGACAATCAACAGAAGCTTTATGTGTGAATTACTAAGCACTAAAAGGATATTTGAATTCTTTAAGAATAGGAATCATACTAGGTGAAATGTGTTATTTAGAATTCTGCTAGTATTATTTCTGTGAACCCACCACATTCTTAAAGGTAAGACACCATTTTTAAGAAACCTTTCAGGCATTATGTATTTAATAAAAATTTATTTACAGACACATGCTAGCTATTATCCAGGAGATACAGTAGTAGCTCTCAAAAAGTCTTTTTTTCTTTTTAAATATGTCTTTATTGATATTTTTAGAGAGGAAGGGAGAGAGAGAGAGAGAGAGAGAGAGAGAGAGAGAGAGAGAGAGAGAGAGAGAGAAACATCGATGAGCTGGCCGGTGTGGCACAGTGGTTGAGTGCTGACCTATGAAATAGGAGGTCATGGTTCGATTCCCAGTCAGGGCACATGCACAGGTTGCAGGGTCATGGCCTAATTGAGCTGGCAACCTAAGCATGTGCCCCGAGTGGGAATCAACCCAAGACCTTTTATGTTTGAGTCTGTTGCTTACCCATTACGGAAGGGCTTTGCTCCTACTGTTTCTTTTCTGTCTAGTGTCTTTAGCATCTTCCATTTGGTTGACTTTTCCTTTGCCTTCAGATATGTTCTTTTAAGAAAAATGTTCTTTTTTGTTATCTTTTATTTATTGATTTTAGATATAGGTAGGAGTGGGGGAGAGGGAGAGAGAGAGAAACATTGATTTGTTCCACTTATGTATTCATTGGTTGCTTCTAGTATGTGCCCTGATAGGGATTGAACCCGCAACCTTGGTATATTGGGGCAACACTCTAACCAACTGAACTACCAGTCCAGGGCCAAGAAAAATGTTCTTTATTTTGTTGATCTTTGTATAGTTTCCCTCTTTGCCAAGCTATATACATGGACTCCTGGTCTTACTTCATTTACTTTAAAAGATTTATTGATTGGTTTGATTAAAATGTAATTTTGCTTTTTAATCAAACTTTGCTCTCTAAAGATTGATTCACAGTTGTACTCATTTGTAACAAGTGTGTGATTTTATTTTATTTTCCCTGTAGGCTCACATTTCCAGTCAAAACTCAGAGCTCAGTTGTGCTGCTCTACAGGCCTTGGGGTTTTGTTTATATAATCCCAAAATTACCTCAGGATTATCAGGTAGTTAAATTTATTATGACTTAATATTTTTAAGAGTTTATAAATATATACTTTGATGTTTAGAAAAGTACTGTTACCTCTGTTAGATTCACAATATATTTTTAAAAATATGTTTTTATTTTAGTATTATTTTTTGGAGAGAGAAAAACATCGATGTGAGAAACATTAATTAGTTGCCTCCTGTATGCACCCCAACCGGGATCGAACCCAAAATCTGGGTATGTGCCCTGACCACGATTCAAACCAGCAACCTCTCGGTGCATGGGACAGTACTCAACCAACTGAGCCACACTAAACAGAGCTGATAACATAATTCAGATGTTTAAACTATTATTGGAAAGCTTTATTTTTTCTTAGACATAGCTCTTTGATAATTGTAAAATTTGCTCTAAAAGAAAATAAGCTTATTTATAAATGTTATGAAAACTTGAACATTCTCCTTTGGAAAACTCTTACCTGCTTTGGAAGTTAATTTAGGTGGTCACTTATTTTGTATAAGCACATACAGTAAGGAATGTGCTGAATTAGAATGTTTTTACATAGTGGTAAGTGGGATGATTTGGAACTAAAAATGATAATGAAAACGAGACTTAACTGATGCTTTCTAAGTTTTCAACTAATCTAATTGTTGCTCTAAGTTAGCAGTTTGACATGGTAAAGGAAACCTAGGAAATGATCTTTAGAGAAGGGAAATCAGGAATTAGGGAATAAAGATGTCAGAAAGTTGTTAACATCTGTTTTCTGAAGGAGAAGTTTCTGCTCTTTTTAATGTACAGGGTGAGGCAAAAGTAGGTTTACAGTTTATATGGACAATAATAATAAATAATAATATAAGAACAATCTTTAACATGCTCACAACTGTAAATCTACTTTTGCCCTACCCTGTATAGAAACGGTAGCGATTTAAAGTAGTTGTTCATTTTGAGACAGATGTAGGGTTCATAACTTCTTGCCAAAAATTATCTTGTATGTTCAAATCTACTAACGACATCTATAAAATTAATTGCACAAAATATCTGATTTAGAGTCTACTATTTTCTCTGAATATACCATCTTACCTATTTTTGTGTTTTTGGAAAGTAGTTTGATATCAGCATTGGTTCTCTGGTCCTTCTCTTTGGATATGCATTTAATTTGTTTCTCTATTTTTATATTTGGTGTTTTAAAGGACGTAAACTATTCCACATAATTAAAGCTGTCTGTTTTTCAGAGAAAAATATTCAAGAACTGCTTTCAAAATTGAATGATAATGTTAAGAGTTCAGACAAAAATGTACGTACAAGGGCACTTTGGGTGATATCCAAGCAGACGTTCCCCACTGACGTTATTGGCAAAGTAGTGAGTATAGTTTTATATATATATCTTCTTAAATACATGCCATTTAAAAAAAATTCAGGCTTACTTGATTTGAATTTATTTTCTATCTTTTAGGTACCCACTATAATTGATTCATTAGAAATAGTATTTAATAGAGGAGAGATGCATTCTGCTGTTGTTGATTACGAAGCATTAAATGTCATCATAAGGTATGAATTTGGATGCTCTGCAAATTGGAAGAATAGTTTCAGGAAGTTCAGAATTTACTTCAAGGAGAGGACTTTTGGGACTTGAATTTGAGTTAGACATTAAAGAGGGAAATGTCTTCTAGACTAAAAGTCTCAAGAAAAAAGTAACAGGAAGAAGGAGGAAATATTTGTGCTTAAGTTAGTAGGTCTCTTTGTTTAATTTTACTGAGATAGTCTTAAAAGTAAAGTCTTGGTTAGGCTCCTGCTGCTAACACAATTCTGGGTTTAAAAATTATTTCTTGCTTTAGCCGGTTTGGGTCAGTGGATAGAGCATTGGCCTGCAGACTGAAGAGCACTTGCCCGGGTTGCTGCAGCCTATCAGTGATTCTCATCATTGATGTTTCTATCTCTCCCTCTCTCTTCCTCTCTGAAATCAATTAAAAAAATGTTTTTTTAACAAAGGAAGAGATGATGAATTTATAGTAAATGTAAACACATTAAAAAATGTGTTTCTGGCCTAGCCGGCGTGGCTTAGTGGTTGAGCATTGACCTGTGAACCAGGAAGTTGAGGTTCAATTCCCAGTCAGGGCACATGCGCAGGTTGCAGGCTCAATCCCCAGTGGGTGGTGTGCAGGAGGCAGCCGAGCAATAATTCTCATCATTGATGTTTCTCCCTCTCCTCCTTTGTTCCTTTCTGGAATCAATAAAAATATATTTTTTAAAAATTATTTTTGTTAAAGCTTTTGCAAGAGTTTTTTTTAAAAAAGTAGACTCCTAAGTGAGTTATAGTGGGTAGTTAGGATGTAAGTAATAGTGCTTAGCGGGAGATGGCAGAACAAGAAAATTCCTGCTTCTTCTCATCCTGCTCTTTGTTGATAACGGTTGTTTTAAAGTTTTCTTTAGTAGTTGAGCTATTTGCTCTAATTAAATGTTCTGATGCCCTCATTGATTCTCACCTTACATCACAGTTCTCTGGCTATCCCATAAGAACACTGAATTTACTTGTATAAAAATAATTAGTATTTAAAAAAACTTTAAAGACAAAATACCTTCTTATTTTAAAAATGTATAAGAATAATACAGAAATAGAAAAATTATCCAGAAAAAGTAAATTTTTTTTTGTGTGTGTGAATATATGTACATATTCTAAAACGTTCCATACCATGCGTATTTCTGTGTGTACTGCTTATTTTCCTGGTAGTTTAGACATAAAAGGTGAGGTCAAAATAATTTATTCATTGATTTCTCTCTTATAGGCTAATTGAACAAGCCCCAATTCAAATGGGAGAAGAGTCAATTAGGTGGGCGAAACTGGTCATACCTTTAGTTGTTCATTCAGCCCAAAAGGTACATTTGCGGGGAGCGACTGCCCTAGAGATGGGAATGCCGTTGTTGCTTCAGAAACAGCAAGAAATAGCATCTATCACAGAGCAGCTTATGACTACTGTAAGTATTACTTTTTATAAGGATTTTTTGAATACTGCATTGTAAGGTTCTTCACCATGCTTGGGGCTCATATTGGTATAATTGTACTGTGATCTAGGAAATTCTCTTTGAATTAAAACAATGAAATGCTTAAGTTAGTGTAGGCATACTGCTCTTGCACTACAGTAAGGAAGGGAGCTGTGTGTATTCAGTGTTAGTATGATCCAGGCATTTTATACAATCCCTAGTGAGTATTGATTGAAAGGGATTGCATTTTTGGAAAAGGGAAAGTATTAACTAATTCAGTGCTATTTTATAAATTTAATGTGCATAAATGTATCAGCTGTGTAATTTCCTAAAGTTATTATTTGCCCCAGGCTTTAGGCTTTTCAACCTTTTTTCTTGTAACAGATATTTATTGAACACTTATTATATGTTGGGTGTTGTTTTAGACACTGAGTATACCAGTGAACAAAAGGAATTGTGGAGCTTATTTTTGAGTGGTAGAGATAATAAAGCATATAGTAGATTTAGTGAAAACATTATGGAGAATAGCAGGAATTAGACTGGGAGAGTGTCATTGGAGAAGAAGGGTGAAGTGATCAGGGAAGAAAAAGAATGGGTATTTGAACAGTGATTTGGAGATGATACAGAGGATAGCTCTTCGGAGGAATCATGAGAGCAAAAGGCCCTGCTCTGATGGTTGTGGTTAGTGAACACTGAGCAGTATAATAGTGGAGTTCATGAAGGTGAGGAGTAGGAGATGATTTCAGAGAAACAGAGAGCCAAATCACATTGGGGGTCATTGTAAGACTCGGTTCTACTGAAAATCATTTTTGAAGGTTTGAGTCTAGGAGTGGTACTAACTTGGGTTTTTTTTTTGTTTTTTTTTTACTAACTTGGGTTTTAAAGGGATCGCTCTGCCTATGTTGAGCATAGACTAAAGGGGATTGAGTAGGGGCAGGGAAACTAGTTAGGGAATACTATAGTAATCCAAACAGGGAAGCTTCCAGATTCTAAATCCTGGGGTTTATCTATTCATTTTAAAGTTACTTCATACTAATATTTGGAGTCTAATGAAGTATCTCTCTTGTTTTGCAAGTTTTTTATTCTGATAAGTTTATTTTTAAAAGCATATGTAAAATTCTTTATAAATTTATAATACAGTTTCTCAGTCTTATCCATTAAGCTATTAGTGTATTTTTAAAGTTATCAGTTATCAGAGTGATGAAAACCATTAACTTGAAATCTAATTAATGATATGCATGCTGAAGTTTTTAGGGAAAAGAATAATAGGAGAAAAAAAATTTAAGCTGGATTAATGCAAGAATGGCCAGATTGTGTTAATAAAAGCATTAGTAAAATGTTAATGGTGATTTATATTTGGACATCCTATCTAATAAAAAGGGAATATGCTAATTGACCCTCACACTGTTGCAAAGATGGTGGTGCCCACAGCCAATTAGGAGGGAATATGCTAATTGACCTCCCTGCTCTCAAAGATGGCGGTGCCCACAGCCACAAGATGGCCAGCAGGGGAGGGCAGTTAGGGGTGACCAGGCCGCCAGGGGAGCAATTAGGCATCAATCAGGCTGGCAGGCAGAAGCGTTTAGGGGTAATCAGGCCGGCAGGCGAGTGGTTGGGAGCCAGCAGTCCTGGATTGTGAGAGGGATGTCCGAATGCCTGTTTAAGCCCGATCCCATAGGGGCCCCAGATTGGAGAGGGTGCAGGCTGGGCTGTGGGATACCGCGTGTATGCATGTGTGCGCGCACGTGCACAGATTTTGTGCACTGGGCCTCTAGTTTATTATAAAACTCAGCTTTGCTATATGTAAGGAAGTTTTCCTTATAAAACATTGGTTAAAGTTATTTGGCTAAGATAACCAGCCAATTTGACACTGCATATTTTTTCCTTTCTAGGAGTCCTTTTGGTAAATATTTTTGCTTTTGTTTGCAGAAATTAATTTCAGAACTCCAGAAGCTATTTATGAGTAAAAATGAGACATATGTTTTAAAATTATGGCCTTTGTTTGTCAAACTTCTTGGGAAGGTAAGTCCACATCTAAAGAATAGTTCAGTTTTACATACTAGGTCCTTTCATTTCTTAACTTTATTTACATAGCATAGTCAATCTTCATTACTCATCATACCATATATGCAAATTTACCTGTTCACTAAAATTTATTTGTAAAGCTAACATCAGTACTTGTTCTGTATAATTTCCTAAATGTATTACTAGTGTGTATAACAGACATGCAGAGTGGCAAAAAAATTTGAGTTCCCCAGTACGTTTGTGTTCCCAGCTGACCATGAATAAGGTTATGCTCTGCCATTTTGTTTGAGTTCTCTATATTCGCTAGACAAATGTCCTTTTCATGATCGATTTAGTGCCATATTTTTCACATTTTGTGCTTTTTCTTGACGATCACATCATTTAATGACCCCCAAGCATAGTGTTGAAGTGCTGTCTATGATTCCTAAATACAGAAAGACTGATGTGCCCTGTGAAGAAAATACGGATATTAGATAAAGCTTTGTTCATACCTGAGTTATAATACTTTTGGCCAGGAGTTCAATGTTAGTGAATTAGTGATACACAGTTACACACTGGCTAACGATGTTTAGATCAGCAACAGACTGCATATACTATGGTGATTCCATAAGATGATAATGGAACAGAATTCCTATTGTCTAGTGATACCATATGTTTGTGATGATGCTGGTGTCAAACCTGTGTTGCCAGTCAGGTAAAAGTGTATCACATACAATTTTGTATGGTACATAGTATTCGATAATGAATAAATGACTGCTAACTGGTTAGTATATTTATTGTATTATTACTATTTTAGTGTACTCTTTCTGCTTATTAACAAAAACTTTCCTGTGGAATAGTATGCCATGTTACTCTGGCAGCAGCCTCATACATCTTGGTCTTACATCATCTCTTGATTGCATCATTTTCTCTTGTGCTTGATCTAATCTCATTTTTTGTACATTAGCATAATGTACAGGTATACAGCCAAGAAATTGACTATACTATATAGCCTTGGTGTATAGTAGTCTATATACCATCTAGGTTTGTGTAAGTACACTCTAATGTCTGCACAACAGTTGCCTGATGTATTTCTCAGAACGTATCCCTATTGTTAAGCAGTGCATGACTGTAGAAGTAAGGTATCTTTTAAAAAATAATCCTAGCCGAAACCGGTTTGGCTCGGTGGATAGAGCGTCGGCCTGTGGACTGAAAGGTCCCAGGTTCGATTCCAGTCAAGGGCATGTACCTTGGTTGCGGGCATATCCCCAGTAGGAGATGTGCAGGAGGCAGCTGATCGATGTTTCTCTCTCATCGATGTTTCTAACTATCTCTCTCCCTTCCTCTCTGTAAAAAATCAATAAAATATATTTAAAAAAAATAATCCTAAAGCAAGGTTGTGTATTGATTGATTAATGAAATCTGACCAGAAGCTTGAAGGGACTAACTCTGCATTTTTATTAGGAGCGATGGCTCAGTATTAAAGGTGACTTAACACATTGTGTGCGGGAAACGTATTTATACGTTCTACCAGTGTAGTAGAGCGCAGGACACGTATTAATACGTTTTTTATAGACTAGCGGTAGAATGCGGGTAGCGCATAAATAGGTAAACTAAAGTTATATCAAAGCTTTTTTGCCTGATTTTCAAGGTCCTGGTGCCACTTTCTTACAAGTGAGCTTGTAACTTGGCACCCACAGCATTCACTTTCTCTTTTTTTAATATATTTTATTGATTTTTTACAGAGAGGAAGGGAGAGGATAGATAGTTAGAAACATTGATGAGAGAGAAACATCAATCAGCTGCCTCCTGCACACCTTCTACTGGGGATGTGCCCGCAACCAAGGTACATGCCCTTGACTGGAATCGAACCTGGGACCCACCAGTCTGCAGGCCGACGCTCTATCCACTGAGCCAAACCCATTAGGGCCGGCCTCTTTTTTTTCTTAACATGGCCCTATTTGTAGTAGAGCTTGGCCTTCTGACCAGTCATGTCTGACTTCTTTGAGCATTTATGAGCTCCTTAACTTTCCTTTCTCTTTTTCTCATGGTAATCCCAGTACTAACCATAGTGTTTATGGTGGTAACTCAGTATATTTGTTTTGTGGCATAGTAATGGCTGTCCAACTGCTTGGTAAAGGAGCCCTAAATTTTTTGGATCTGAGATCCAGAAGCCAATTCCATACAACTCACAGGAAGTAAAGCATTTAAGTTCTTAATTTATTTTCTAGGTTTTGCTCTGTATTTTAAAGTAGTACTTACGCTTTAAATTTTTTACTTTTTATTATAGTTTACATTCACTATTATTTTAAATTAGTTTCAGGTATACATCATAGTGGTTAGACAACCATATACTTTACAAAGTGACTCCGTCTGCTTCAATATTTCAAGTACCCCCTGGCACCATACATAGTTGTTAGCATATCATTGTGTATATTTCCTATGTTGTCCTTTACATCCCCAGCTTTGTGCTTTTTTTTTATTAAGTTATTACATATGTGTCCTTATCCTCCCATCCCCCCATCCCTCCCCCCAATGCCCTCATCTCTCATGTTGTCTGTGTTCATTGATTAGGCCTAAATGCTTGCATATAAGTCCTTTGGTTGATCTCTCCCCCGTAGCCCCACTCTCCCCTACCTTCCCTCTGAGGTTTGACAGTCTGATCTATGCTTCTCTGTCTCTGTTTTTCTTCATCAGTTTATGTTGTTCGTTATATTCCATAAGTGAGTGAGATCATGTGATATTTATCTTTCTCTGACTGACTTATTTCACTTAGCATAATGCCCTCCAGTTCCATTCATGCTGTTGCAAATGGTAAAAGCTCCTTTTTTACCGCAGCATAGTATTCCATTGTGTAGATGTACCACAGTTTTTTAATCCACTCATCTACTGATGGGCACTTAGGCTGTTTCCAAGCTTTGTGCATTTTTAAATTGGGTGGTTTGTTTTTGTTGTTGAGTTGTAGTTCTTTATTATGGATATTAATTAATTGTCAGACCTGATTTGCAAATATTGTTTCCCATTCTGTGGGTAATCTTTTTTTTTTTTTCTCTCACGGGAGGATATTTTTCTTGATATTTTAGAGAGTGGATGAGAGGGAAAGACAGAGAGAAACATTGATGTGAGAGAAACACATCAATTGGTTGCCTCCTGCATGCGCCCCAACCAGGGCCTTGGCCTGGGAGGAGCCTGTGTAACCAAGGTACATGCGTGACTGGAATTGACCCTTGGGACCCTTTGGTCCATAGGCCGACACTCTATCCACTAAGCCAAACCAGCTAGGGCTTTGCTTTCTTGATGGCATTCTTTGATGGCATTCTTTGATGCATATTGATATTTTTGATAAAGTGCATATAAATTAGGTAAATAGATAACTTTCTTTTTTTTTGGCGCTTTTGGTGTCATCCATGAAGTTGTTGCCAAATCCAGTGCATTAATCTTTTTCTCTGTTTTCTTGGAGCTTTAGAGTTTTAATTTTAGTTTATAAATACTGATCTTTGATCCAGTTTGAATTTATTTTTGTATATAAGGCAAGGGTCTAGCTTTAATTTTGCACGTGGATATTTCATTTTTCCCAGCACCATTTGTTGGACTGACCTATTGAAAAGTCTCTAGGCACATTTATAAAACAACAATTGACAGTATATGAAAGGACTTATTTGGGGGTTTCTATTTTATTCTATGTTTATTCTTATGTTAATACCATAAGTTTTAATTACTATAGTATTGTAATAAGTTTAGAAGTCTCGAAAGTGTGAGTCCTCCAGCTTTATTTTTCAGAATTGGCTATTTGAGGCTCTTTGCAATTCCATATTGAATTTGAAGATTGGTTTGTTTTTTGTTTTTTTCTGTGAAAAGGGCTGTTGGAATTTTGATAGAGATTGAGTTGAATCTGTAGATTGCTTTGGGTAGTATTGATATTTTAATGATAGCAAATCTTTCTACCTATGAATGTGGGATGGTTTTCTACTTATTTAAGTCTCTAAATTTCTGCAGTGTTTTGTAGCTTTTAGTGTATAACTCTGGCTTTCTTGATTAGATTTATTCCTAATGAATATTTAATCTTTTAAGTGCTATTGTAAATGGAATTGCTTTCCTAGCAATTCAGATTATTGCTGACATGTAGAAATAGAACTGATTTTCAGGTGTTGATCTTGTACCTAGACTTGTTGAATTAATTTTATTAGTTCTAGGAGGTTTTTTATGAATTGCTTGTGATTTTCTAAGCCAGTTTTTTTCTGTTAATATATTCTGTTTAGGTTATATATGGTTTATAGCCACTTATAAATTAACTAGAGGCTCAGTGCACAAATTCGTGCACATTGAAAGGAAATTAATTAGAAGGTGGCCAGCAGGGCGGGACTGGGCTAGATGGGGCAGACACACCCTGGAGCCAACCTCCCTCAGTCCCTCCCTAGCCAGCTGCACCTGGGGTGACCAGGGCTCGAAGGGCATCTGCAGAGTGAGCGGGGTCCCTTTGTCAGGTGGGGTCCCTCAGCCTGGCCTGTGGGGGTTGGGCCGAAACTGGCAGTCTGACATTCCCCAAGGGGTACCAGAATGTGAGAGGGCACTCTACAAAGTTGCTGTCGCTCTGCAGCTCCTACATTGAACATCTGTCCCCTGGTGGTCAGTGTGCGTCATGGTTAACGGTCACATGGTTGCTTAGGCCTTTATATATATACGAGAGACCGAGTGCACAAATCGGGGCAGGGGGGAGGTCCCTCAGCCTGGCCTGTGCCCTCTCGTAGTCTGGGACCCCTCAGGGGATGTCCACGTGCTGGCTTATGCCCGCTCCCCAGGGGATCGGGCCTAAGCTGGCAGTCAGACATCCCTCTGGCAGCCTCGGAGCCGTCTGGGGATATCCACTTGCCAGTGGGGAGCAGGCCTAAACCGCAGTTGGACATCCTTAGCTCTGCTGAGAAGGCAGGAGAGGCTCCCACCACCACTGCTGTAGATTCCTAGAACTGTCTTTTTATTTTTTATTTTATTTTTTTATTTCAGAGAAGGGAGGGAGAGGGAGAGAGAGATAGAAATATCAATGATGAGCGAGAATCATTAATTGGCTGCCTCTTGCACACCCCCCACTGGGGATCAAGTTCCCGACCCAAGCATGTGTCTTGACTGGGAATTGTGACCTCCTGGTTCATAGGTCTTCGCTCAAACACAGAGCCATGCCAGCCAGGCAGAACTGTCTTTTTGGCCTCAGGTCTTGTGGCGATTGCTGGGGCAACACAAGCCTCCTGCTCACTTCAGCTCAGTGGCTGCAGCCATCTTTGTGATGGAGTGGGTGAGTGAGGGTGTGACAGTTAATTTGCATATCACTCTTTTATTAGATAGGATATAGATATTTTACCTTTTTATGTATTTTTTTAGGGTTCATATTTATTTGTCTTTTATCCATTTTCCCTTAACCATTTTTCATACCTGTTTTACTTACTGTATTTGAAAAGGTGTTTTTATTAGTTTCAGGGTTTGACATTTCTTATTTTTTCTTTAATGTTGATTCTATTTTTTTTCCCATGTACTCACTTTTTGGTATTATGTTAGTCAAATTTGTTTTTAATCTGACCTTCCTAATTTTCTCTAATGTTTTAGAAATGCTTTGTGTTATGTATTGTCTGCTTCTTGAAGTTTTATATTTTGTAATCTTGAAATTTGAATGTGCATACAGAATTTGGTACTTTAAAAAATGTAAATTCCTAAGACTTTTATGTAACTGAAACAGAATGAATTAAACTAGTGAATCATACTAGAGCCTTATATATTGTTTTGGCAAGTAAATAACTTTTTAATGATTTTTCCTTTTTAGACCTTACATCGAAGTGGGAGTTTCATTAATTCTCTGTTACAGCTGGAGGAACTGGGATTTCGTAGTGGAGCACCCATAATTAAAAAAATAGCTTTTATTGCTTGGAAGAGTTTAATAGATAATTTTGCATTAAATCCAGGTAAGTAATATTTTAAAATTTTGAATATTTATGTTCAAAAAGTATCAAGTACCATTTGTGGCACTCTTAGTACGTGCCAACACTTAGATGAGCACTTTACCACCTATCTCATTGGTTACAATAGAACTGAGGTACTAAGTATTTTTACTATTTTGGGGAGATTATGTAATTTATCAAAGGTCACAGTAGATGATAGGAAACAATTGTGATTGTTATGGAATAAACATATCACTGACTGAACTTTTTTAAAAAATGTATTTTTTTATTGATTTCAGAGAGGAAGGAAGAGGGAGAGAGAGAAACATCAATGATGAGAGAGAATCATTAACTGGCTGCCTCTTGCACGCCCCCCACTGGGGATCGAGCCTGCAACCTGGGCATGTGCCCTGACCGGAATCGAACCCGGGACCTGCCAGTCCACAGGCCAACGCTCTGTCCACTGAGCCAAACCAGAATGGGTGACTGGTGAACTTTTTTATCTTTTAGGACATTTAGAACTGTACGTAATAGTAGATTAATATTAATATACTAGAGGCTCAGTGCACAAAAATTTGTGCACTTGGGGTCGGGAGGAGGGGATCCCTCGGCTTGGCCTGTGCCCTCTTGTAGCCTGGGAGCCCTCGGGGGATGTCCGACTGATGGATTAGGCCCACTCGCAGGGACATCCTTGGGAGCGCACTGACCACCAGGGAGCAGCTCTGGCTCTGTCCCCTATTGCCCCACCACCAGTGGCCTCCCTCTGCCAGAGGCAACCGGGGTGTGGGGCCATTGTGGGACAGCGCCGGCCTACAAGCAGCTGGCCCCACCCCCCTGATCGCCCCTCTGCCGCTGCTGGTCACCACTGCCCCCTGATTGCCATCCCCTCCCTCTGCCTGCTGGCACCCACTTTGGCTGGCCTGGGTCTGCCCGCTCGCCAGCCCTGCCCCTCACCCACTGGTTGTTCCACTGTTTGGTTGATTTGCTTATTAGGCTTTTAGTATATAGGACGTGTTTCCTTTTGATTTACCTTAACCTTAACATCCTATTATCCTAGTGAAAGTGTTTGATATAGATAGATAGATAGATAGATAGATAAGATAGATAGATAGATAGATTGATCTAGATCAGCCTTGGGCAAACTACGGCCTGCGCGCCGGATTTCGGCTGTTCTATCCCGCCCGCGGAGCCGAAAGAGCGGAGGGTTCTCTTGCTCTCCCCTCCGCTCCTTCACCAGCAGCAGTGTTAACATGTATTAGTTCACACAAACTCTCCATCCATGCTTTTGTTCTGGCCCTCTGGTCCAGTATAAGAACCCATTGTGGTCCTCGAGTCAAAAAGTTTGCCCACCCCTGATCTAGATATGTAGATTTAGATATAGATATATAGATACAGATTTAGAGAACGAATGTTTAGCACAAAGGTGGGTCAGTATTAATACCTATTAAACTGGGTAATTAATCTTCAGTATAGTAAATACTGTATATTTCCAGATCTACTAAGTAATGTGGATTTCATCCTATATATATATATTTTTTTACCAAAGACCATTAATTCTTTCCTCTTAATGTGTTTTATAAAGTGATTATTTGCATTAACTATCATTACTTTTATTGAAAATGTTGGTAAAAGTGCATTGCCAGGCACCAGTTTTAATTAGAAATGTCACTTTCTTTTTTTGTTGCTTATGAACTATTAGCATGAGATAATGTTCACGACTAAATCTGTTGGAATTATAAACGGTTGAATGTTACAGCATAAAATAGGAGTGATGTAAAGAAGATGAAGTAAGTCTAGAGCTAGAGAGTCTCTGACTTGTATTATGGATCTAGGAAGTTATTAACAAATCAGGTGCTTGACTTTTCTGTCATCTTCAGTATACCTTAGTTGCAGACTATAGGAAAGAGGGAAGGCAGAGAGCATAAATAAACTTCTCAGCTAAGCTGGCTATCCGTATTGAGCATTCTAGAAATCCACATTCATCACCACTTAAGTATCATTCAGTAGAATGGCTAAACAGGAGACTAGATAAAGAAGTCATAATTGGGCAGCCATCACTGTTATGAATGAAAGCAGGTCTTGTAACTAAAAGAAAATGGATTATTGTATGGCAGTTGGCAATTTCTGCTACAGGATATTTTTTTTGGAGCTCATAAGTAGAGGATTTGTTCTCACAGTAGTCTGACTTCTTATTTCAAAGTCTTTTTTAAGTCTTTTTTTTTAAAATATATTTTATTGATTTTTTACAGAGAGGAAGGGAGAGAGATAGAGAGTTAGAAACATCGATGAGAGAGAGACCTCAATCAGCTGCCTCCTGCACATCTCCCACTGGGGATGTGCCCGCAACGCAGGTACATGCCCTTGACCGGAATCGAACCTGGGACCTTTCAGTCCGCAGGCCGATGCTCTATCCACTGAGCCAAACCGGTTTCGGCACTTTTTTTTTTAAAGTCTTTTTGATAAGTTACTTTAGCACAGACTGTATTTTTATGTATTCCCAGTCAACACTCACACACTAGAGACTTCTGATATAAATATTTTGCTTAAAGAATTAGATTTCATTTTTATGCTGAATTTTAATATGTAATTATTATTATTTTTTAATTTAAATCTTTATTGTTCAGATTATTACATTAGTTACTCTTTTTTCCCAACATAACTCGCCTCCACCCAGTTCCCACCCCACCCTCCACCCTCATTCCCCACCCACTGTCCTCATCCATAGATGGACGATTTTTGTCCAGTCTCTTCCCGCATCCCCCACACCCCTTCCCCGCTCAAGAACAGTCAGTCCATTCCCTTTCTATGCCCCTGATTCTATTATAATTACCAGTTCATTCTGTTCATCAGGTTATGCACTCCCTTGATTTTTAGATTGAC